TGAATGTGACGAGGTCGGCGTGCGAAACAGTTGACGTCAAAATTGTGACGCAGACACGAGCCGCAGTCGGCGTCGAAACAGTGCGCGAGTCGATGACGACAGAAAAGACGCAGAAGACGAAGCCGGAGAAGTCGCAGCGAGGAACTGATGCGAATTGCCGTAAAAGTTGTTAGGGTTTGCCATGAGTCGAACCCCTAGCAGAGCTGATAACGGGAGAAAACGATGTCATTCATAATATATATATATATGTATATATATATATATATATATATTAAAAAGCCCAAGACAATTTTATTGAAGAGAAAAGGGTACAAATAAGTTATATCAGTGGACCCAAATAGACACCCAACCCATACGGTACAACACACACAAAAAGAAAAGAAAAGAAACTTAAAACCCAAAAGTAGATGGTACAACAACACACTTTAGTTCTGTCTTTGTCTCTAGTTCTCGGAAAGGAACCGGCTAACAGATTGATGTGTACCATTGCCCGAAGTAACCAGAGTATCATCCATTAAATTTCTTAGCTCAAGTAAATTTCTGTTCTTCTTCTTCCTTCTGTAAGTGTAGACCTGCAATTTCTCATCTGAAGATTGTTGCTTATTCAGATGCCAACAGTTGTGCCCACAAGTGTATGAGGCAAGAGTTGTCGCATCTACCCCTGATACTTCCTGAAGATGGGGAGCTGAAAGGTTCTTCTGATTATCAGTCCGTGTAGGTAGGGTCCTTCATTATTATTTTCAATAGGGTTTGAAAGTGTAGGTTGCTCAGCAGGGCCATCGAGCTTCTCATCGATTGCAGAAACAGTATTTTCAGGGGGAGGGTCCACAGGGAAAATAGAATCAGATACCAAATCCTATCCAGTTGCAGTTTTCTCTCCAGGTGGAACAAATATATTCTTAGATCCATATTTATTTGCTTAATCTTTAGACTTTAAATTATAATAAAACTTATGACATTTATCAAGGGTATGCCCAAAGATCTTACAATGAGATTAATATGGAGGTCTATGTTCCATGACAATTTATTGTCAATATCTATTATGCGTTGTGTCCAACCAAACTTCCATAACATCAGACAAAGTAATATCTCTTTCTACAAGTATTCTGGCCACATAAGGTCTGGTAAGATTGAAACTGAGTAGATCTAGCTTCAGATGGTCTCAAAGTATGACACCAATAGAGTAAAGAACTTGATGATGGAAAAAATGCAGCTTGAGACCAGGCAGACTAAACCATATCGGTATAGTAAGAGATTCATGATTGGGATCAAAACCAGGAGATCACTTCAGTAGTTTCATTGGTTTGCCAACAATGTTAAAATATTTTTTGGAGAAAATTCGAGTATAGTCTTCAGGCACGGTTAACTGAATTAAAACATGTCTCCCATCCATGAGCCCCACTTTCCACTTTCCTATTAATTTAAGGTCATTTAAATTTTTCCTGATAACTTTCATAGGTGGGTGTCACCACTGAAATTTCTCAATAAGAGCAAATTTGAATTTGTCAAACATGGTTGAAATTTCTGACTCAGAGAAAAAAATAGTCTTCCCACTTTTTCTGCTTGCATTTTAATAAAGGGGCAGTCACCTGTACCATCACGATTCTCCTTATAACTTGAGGAGAAGACAACCACCGTCTCCCCCTGAGGATTACCCGCCACGTGGGCAAATGATGTTTTGTCAGGTTCAACCGAAGAAGAAGGAAGCTCCATCACAACAAAGAGAAGCACTGCAAGTCGGGCAGAGGGCAAAAAGATTAGTCGAAGAGGTCGGGGTGAAGCTGCGCAGAAGACGGGAACCGCTGATGAAATGCGCAGAAGACACAAAACCGCAGCACGCGAGGGAATCCACGCAGAAAAGAACCACTTAGTCTGATGAGGTGGTAGAATCACAGTAGAAAGATGACCAACTGTTGTATTAGTGATAGGTTCTAGGGTAGGTGAAGTATGAAATGTCTCATCTGCGCCCGAGGCTTCCCGAGGAAGATGAGGAGCTTCAAAACTCTTCTGATGATTGGACCAAACTAACTCCTGTTGAAGTAGAGTTCTTTCAGTATCGTTTTCAATGTTGTTTGAGGCTGTAGGTTGCCTAGCTAAACCATTCGACAACACGCCATTCACAGTAACAGAAACAGTACTGTCTGGGGGGTCTTCGGTAGTAAGGGGGTTACAGGTGGCAATGACAGGAGAAATGGGATTTAGAGGAGGGAAAGTGGGAGGGGAAGCAGGGGGTCCAGTAACAGTTTTACTCTGAGGGTTTAAATGAGGGTGCAAATGGTGATATTGAGAGTGAGAATGTCCAAATATCCGGCCGTGGGTGCAATAAAGTGGGAACTGTTTGAGTTCCATCCACTACCAATAACCCTGGTGATGTGAGACAATCCAGATCTCACCCGGTAAAAGTAAAGTAATGTCTCATTCAATCAAAACTCTGGCTTTAGAAAACCGACTCATGTTAACTGTAGGAATATCAGTTTTGAGGGGTTTACCGTAAACCATAGAAGGAATAGAGGAACTCGTGATTGAAGAGATGGAACTTCAAACCTGAGAAGCACAGCCAGACAAGAATGGTAGGAGGTTCGGTGAGAGGATCAAAGTCGGCTGTCGATTTTAAAACTTTCAACAAACGATCATCTATTCGAACGAGTCTTCTCGCAAACAAATGAGCATAGTCTTCATCATTTGATAATTGGATAAGAATGTGCCTACCGTTCAATTTATCAATCTTCCATTCCCCTTTCAGACGCATTTGCTCAAACTCTTTTCGAATTAGATCGATTTTAGGGCTTCCATAGAGGAATTTACCAACTAGGATCAAGCGACAGGATGAAGCTAAGATGGAAATCTTGGCTTCAGATAGAAAGATTACAGGCTTACCATTTTTACGGGATGCTTTTTTAAGAATGTCAGCGCCCTGCGCTACGGCGTCTTAGTATTGCTGCGGGAACATACACGACATAGGATGGCGAGTGGGGTTGTCGCCAGCAAAAGCGGCGGCGTAGGAACGTCTTAAGGCCATCAATGCTTATAGGGAACAAAGCAGAGCAGCTGATGCACTGCCGGAGATGGTCTTTCGACTAGCAGACGAAGTCGAGGGGACGGGAGCAGACGTCGCATGACAAAGACGTAGCAAAACGAAACACTAGCCCTTCTTTTGCATGCAGACGATGCACAACGAAGACGAAACATGGCGAAGGACGAAAGTATGAAGCACGAATAAAGTAGACGACATCGACGAAAGAGGAGCTCAACGCATCGAGAATCAACAGAGCAGTTGCCAAATTTCGCTATGCGGCGAAACCCTAGCAGAGCGAAGGAGCTGAGCATCGAAGAGGAGACATGTCATATATATATATATATATCAAAACACTGTTATTTACTTTGTTTAGGGTTCAATTTTTGCTTCAGTTTTTTGTTGTCAATGTCGTCTTTTACCTTGTTAGGGTTGTATCTGAGGACATGTAGTGTTCCGGCTGTATCCTGCTCCAAGGTGGTGATTATCGCCGCATATTCCCTTCCCCTTTTCCCTTGACTGTCGGTTGCCGCTCCTCCCTGCACCACCCTTTTGTTGCTATTACTCTTCCTGCTCACAGTTGCCCGCCACACCTGTACCCTTTCAGTCGGTCATCCACTGTCCCAAGCGACCTTGTTGTTGTTCCACTTGCTGTCCGACCTCATCTTAGAGGGATATTTGTATTGTGTCATGTTTCCTTTCTTTTTTCAAGGTCTTGATTGTAATCTCATTGTTTTGCGTGATAAAATATGCTTCCCTTATTGGCTTTTGGGTTGACTCGGGTATCATTCTTCTCTTCCGTTATCTTGAAGTCGTAACCTCTGAGATAGTTGTCTACTTGAACCGACATTACCAAATAGAATTTCTTTCTTTTTTTAATTCAGTCATTACATACTTGTAATAGTTGCATTGCAGGTTGATTTTAGAGAAATGCTCCATCACTTTCTTTTTTTTTTTTTTTTGAAGATTTGGTGGAAACAAACCCCATAGTTTAGGATTTTTTGATAGTTTTTAGTAATATTTAATATTTGGGGTGCGAAGCATTACTATCCTTTTTCTTTCTTCAGTTCATGGGAGTGATCTCATTAGGAATGGTATGTTATCTTTACTTAATTTTTGAGTGTGAAATTGAACAAATTCATCATTGAGTCATGTAAAAAAGCTTTTCTATTTCTACAAATTGTTTGAGAACTATAGGATGGCTGCTATTTCATCTTAAGATCTTCAAAGTTTTGTCATGCTTGATTTTTGAGAGTGATGCATTATCTCATAGATGAGAGTAGTATCTTTAACTTTTGAGTTAGTTTGTTTGACAGCTTTTTATGTCTTTTCCAGTTTTTAGGAATTTGCATGGTCTTCTGATTTCAGGCATCAATGTATTTCATAACCATGACATGTAATGAAATTTGCTTAGTATAAAGTGCAAACTTTAGATATTTTAGATTTGGAGAATCAATAAGATGATGAATTTTTTCCTTTCCTTTCAGAAGCTTTTCATAATTTGAAACCACTTTAGGTAATTTCTTCCATTCAAATTATACAAGGTTTGTAGCATTTAAAGTTTTCTTTCAGTTGAAAAATCAGACATAATGAGAAGTAGAAGAATGAAAGAGAGGTAAAAATAAAGATTGGAAACAGGGCCTAACTTTGATTTGATGCTATATTGAAAAATAAATGGCTAGAAAGCTTGCTTCCTTCATTCCTTTAATAGGTATTCATATATAATATAACCTAAAAAATAAATGAAAACTACTACCTAATAATTTAAAAATTATAACTATTGCTCAATTTTTTTCTTTTTTTACTGGTGGAATGATGGAGCAATATGTGGCACTCCCCTTTTCCTCTCAGGCACATTAATCTGTTGCACTTCTTTCTTTTTTTATTTAGCAATCCTAATTATTTTAACACAACCTTATTAATTTTAATCACTTTTATTTTCCCTTTTAGTTTGAATGGAGACTCATTGTCTTATTATACCTTGTAGAACAAGCCACTTATTCAGAAGGTTGTGCTTCTCCATCTTCCAGGATTGGATGCTGATCTTTACCTTTCAAATCCGAACTTGTTTTCAGGACTAAGAAAATGTTTTGGAGCTCCAAAGCAAGTTTTAGCTTTAAGGTTATGACGAGGCTTTTTATCTTGAGGATTTCATGTTCATATGATGCAATGTTTGTTATGGAAATAGTCAATTATTGCATGCTAATTTATCTGCTAAATTTGCTCGTTGGTTTACCTGAATGACAGCTGTGTGGCAGATGAAATGCAAACAATTGGTGCACTTTTAACATACAGAGTGAAAAGAAAACACGAGGAAATTGAATCAAATCAACAGTTTCATTGTCCAACTTCAGCTAGAGGTGTGGACGTGTTTAGAATGTCGATATGCATTTCTATGGTGATTTGATGTTGTTCAAGATCAAATTATTCTATGTTTCTGCTTCATGTTACTTTTTGAGAAAATGTAACTTTCCAAAATGATCTACAATTCACACAGGGTTTTTTATTTTAGAACTTTTTATGGTAACCATTTTAATACCTTATTTTCTGTTGTTCACGGCACACTCATACTTTAAAACAGTAAGATATTTCCCCAGATTTAAGAAGGATTTTGAAGAGAAGGTATCTTTTTCTTAAACAAGAAGGATTTTGTGAGTTGAAGGTCCGTCCAGGTTGATTGTTAGGAGAATTAAATTGGAATTCTATAGATAAGCTAAATTTGATATTGAGATAAGATGACTACTGCTCTATTAAAAATATTGTGTTATGTTTATGAGTTTGAAAATAGTAGTGCATTTGCAAAGTCACTTAGTGGTGTGACTATGAGTAAATATTATGGATGTTTATAATGATTAGAAGAGTTTTTAAGTTTTGATACAAGATTAGAAAGCTAAGGAAAAGATTTTTGAAGATTTATATGTTAGACTAGCTACGAAAGGAGAAAAATTGTAATTAGAGAGCTGAATATTTTTATCAAGTTGGATGTATTAAACTTGAGTGTAATAAGATCTCAAGGAAGATTCAAACATCAATAAATGATATAAGTATTATCTTAAGAAATTTTGACTTAATCTTACTATTAGGGTGCACTATGTATATAAAGTAGACCAAACAAAAAATTTGTTCTCTTGAGAAGATTGAGACATAAAATCAATAGTGAAAAAATCCAGGAAACTCTATAACCTCTAGAACTATAGAAGGTAACCTTCAGAACAAAATTAGCTTCTCATTTTTATTTTCCTGAGGGACTCTTGAATAACCTCTCACTAGACCAATTGCTTGGAAGTTCTCTTTATAGAAGTTATTTTTTTCTCTGGATTTTAGCCCATAATTTCTATTTTTATAAGAGGTTAATTACTGGTTCTGGAGTTCAAGAGAGTTTTTATCTTACCAAAGAATATATTTATGTTATTTTCACCTTAATTGTTGTAGCCTTTTCCTTGAGTTTTAGGATTTTCGAGCGTCAGTGCTTGTGTTTTTGTAGCTTGTAAGCTATTTGATTGTGATAAAAGTTATCATATATAAATATCCTATTCAAATAAAAAACTAATAACGAAACTAGTTTCTCTTTCCATGGGAGTAACTATAGCAGGATAGGATGATTGAGTTTGATCTAAAGGGTTATGTGGTGTTATGTGTCCCTTTCATTTAATCATACTTGGAACAGGGCATGCTAAAGGGATTCAAGGGCAGAAGAGGTGGGGCATCTACTCCAAGCATTGTGAGTCAGTAACATGGTTTTCGGTGTTAGTTCCTTTATGATTTCATTGGGCCGGAAGTTCTGCCATTATATTAACTATTGACCCACCAAGGTGAAGAGAAAGCCTAAGATTAGGTCTCTTTAGTCGGCACCTCAAACAAGTTGCCAAGTAATTTACTAAACGGTTACTTTTGAGCTGGCTTCATTTGTTTAGCCAACTACTACTTGCTTTATCTCTCAATGCTTGCTGAAACCTTTCTTATAAAAACCATAGGATAATGCTGACCTATCATTGGCATAGAAACACATACAACATATATAGGAGGTGAGGTGAGAATGTGGCCGGAATACCATTCCTATGTTTGACGTCCCTCCCATCTCCATACTCGTATGTCTTGACATGTTTGAGGGCTGCTTGACCTTTAATTTTATTAAAAAATATAAAAACTTAAGATCTACACAGCTCCTTAAAAAAATAAATTTCTCGCTCGCATGCCCTATGTTGCTTGTATTCTCTCTCCCGTCCTCTCCCTCTCACTTTTTCTCTCACATTTGTCTTTACCTGATACTCTTGATGGAAAAGAAATGCAAAAGCTGCAATTGAGCTTGTTTGGAAAGGGCATGATGAGACCAATAACTTGTGGGAAAGACAGCCACGCCAGGGGCTTGTTAGAAGAAGGCTTTTGACACCAATCTTGGGCTCCTACAACTAAGCTATTTCCATTTTTTGTCACTACTTTGGATGGTGTGAGAATGTTAGGAGATTGGTTAGGAATGACAAAGAATTGTTGTTGGATAACAAATCATATGTCGGAATGGTAGTTTGGTAGCAAGACAATCGGTGTAGAAGATCTTCGATTGTTCGAAGGAGATCACCACCTTGACCTAATCAGGTTACAAACATACCACCTGAGAAAGACCTATGGATACAACACTTTGATAAAAATAAACTTGGAGAAACAACCTCTATTGCATAAACCAAAATCCATTTAAGTGTCTGATAGGTTCTAAAACAATATTTATAATGTTTGGTCTACCATATTAGACCCATAGGTTGGATCTAAGGTGTTTAGACCTAACATAGGAAAAGAAATTAAATCCTAAGTATAAATTATAGTTGGTAAATAGGGCCCACAATGCCTTGTTGCATGCCAATCGATTGGAATTCTCCCGCTATAGTATTCAAGGGACAGGAAATCTCATTCTCACAAATCCCACCTTGATCAAGGCCATCTAGTTGCTTGTGTTACAGACACTCTCACGTCATTCTCTCCAGTTAGGAGGGGCTTCACCTTCATTTCTGAAAGCATTTGGATTTTCATAAAGCAACAATGTTAAAAGTAACATAGATATTATAGTCTCCTCGTAAATTAATCTTGTAGGCATTATCATTAATCTTCTTGGTGATTTTAAGTGAACCATTAACTTTAGGATGAAACCTTCCAAACAACTCTACAGGAAACTCCTTCAATTTGATCCATACTAAGCCGCCTTACTTGAAGACCATAACTTTCTTGAATTTGTTAGCTTGCTTTTGATATTTAGTGTTTTGCTTCACAATGTAGGGTTTGAATTTCTCCGATTCTTGCCTTTGCACGAAATGTATGGTTTGAATTTCTTCGATTCATGCCTTTGCATCCGTGCAAACCGTAATAGCTGGTAGTATTGACAACTAACAATAAAGAGTAAGAGCTTTCCATCCATATAAAATCTTTAAGGGATTATGACCCGTGGACTGATTAGTGAACCGCTTGTAGGTATACTCAACTTGACGAAGCACCAAATACTATTGCTTAATGTTCTTTCCTAGAAAGCACTTGAGAATATTTCCCAAACTAAGATTTGCTATTTATGTTTGTCCATCTGTTTGTGGGTGTGCTGGATGACTGAACTAGAGCTTTGCACCCGACTGACCTCATAAAGTTCTTTTCAGGTTTCTTCTTGAAATAATGGTTTTGGGTACAACATGAAGACGATCTATTTCCAGTAAGTATAAAGTTACAATGTGTGATGCATCCATTTTCCAAAGGCAAAGTACAAAGTGTGTCATCTTAAAAGAAGCGGTCTACAACCTAATACTACTGTAACTAAATTATTTCTCCATTATTTGGTCAAAACTAGAACTAATTGTTTTAGTATTAATAGAACTATTGTTCAAATGTTAGGATTCATAACCTCCGTTGTTTCATATCTTAAATGCTATTTAAAATTTTAAAATTTATCAAAAAAACTAAATTTTGGCTAAGCTATAAGCGATGTGGTGGCTTCAACGTATTATTTTAGCATTATTAGAGCTAATGTTAGCATGTTAGGATTCATAACCTCCATTGTTTCATCTCTTCAGTGTTATTTTTAATTTTAATTTTCTCAAACAATTATTTTTATGTTTATGATATTTTAATAATAAATAGTGACCAAAAAGTAGAATTGAGCACTGAAACTATTGAAACTGAATTTTTGGGCAGTGGGGCAAAAGTGAAATGCGTTTGCAAACCTTCTGCATTTAGGTTATTTTAGGGATTTGTTTTTTTTATTTATTGACAATTTTCCAATTAAGTTTTATTGAAATGAGTATATTAATTAATTTTTATTTTCATGATTTATGAATATTTTGATATTTTTTGTTCCACGCAAAACTATTTGATTTATGAAATTTTGCTTGCTATTTGGTTTAATTTCAGAGAAAGCACTCCTTTTGGAGAATCAAAAGGATCTTCCTTTCCCAGTTAACTACTATACTCATTCACGGAGAGAGCTGGAAGATAGTGGGTATTGCATCAATCACCCAGGTGGTCATATTATTAAATATATTTTGATATCTTGTAAATTTATTAGCGTTTCTTTGAATATTTTTTCATACAGAGTTTGTAACCACTGTTCCTGCTCCTGTCGGGACTTCACCGCATAGAATCCTGGCTCTTGATTGTGAGATGGTAAGAATATACATGAAGCAAAAAAACCAGTGTGCATTACTCGTAGCTTAGTATTAACTATATTGCCAGATAGTAATTCCAGATTTTTGTTGGTTGGTTTTTTTTTGTGTGGCTAGACAAGAAAAAACAATTTCTAGTCAACTATTGGTCTATAATGTGAAAGATTTGTTAGCAGTACTAAATTAGGAGGATTCTTTGAGATGGTAAGAATATTTCTTTGATTATTTCAGCATATGATTGATGCAGGAGCTCGGGGTCTTGTGATCCCATGGCCGCAAGGCGCGACAGCCGGTTCAAGCAAGCGGAGTAGAACCGAACAGGATAACCTTCTTTTTTTGAACACATTTCCTTTTTTCTTTCCTTCCTTTCTAGTCCTTTCATATATATGTGTTGTATTAGAGTTTGAATTCTCAGTTTTTGGCTTGAGTTTGTTCCAAACAGCCGCTGGCATCTCCTTTTCTTCCTTCTATAGCTTTATCTAAGAGTCCCAAGGTGGTGATTGTCCTTCGTCCACCCCTCCACATCTTTCCCACACTGCTCCCATCACCCGTCCTTGCTGCAGCCACCCAGAACAGCCGCCACTTGGCTACTTTCTGCAGTCCCACCTTGCTGTCACCTGCCAGAACCAGCTCTTCTTCCCTTCACCGTACTGCCGCCATCCAGAATCTCCTTCCCTTCACCGTACTTCTGCCATCCAGAATCAGCATCACGCCCCTTCCACCTTGCTGCCGCCTTCCTGGAACCTCACTCCTGCCCCTTCCACCTTGCTGCCACCTTCCAGCCTGCATTCCTCGGCTGTTTCCTAACTTTTCCAACCATCCCTCCCTTGCTGCCACCGCCTAGAACCGCATTTTCTGCTGTTTCTCCTCTGCTTCAGCCACCCAGGCTTGCTGCCATCACTCTGGACAGCAGCCTCCACCTCTGTCCACACTGCTAGCCGTCTCCCCGATGCCTTCATCACCTTGCTCCTTGCTGACATCACCCAGGATAGCCCTTTCACGTCGATCTCCGCTGCTTGCTTGTTGCCTGGGAAATTAGAAAATAGCCTCCTTATTGTTTCTACTTGTCCCGGCCCTTACCGCAACTAGTTAGTGTCGTGTTTGTTGCAATTTGAGATATCTGTTTTGGTTGATTGTAATTTTCTATTTGATTTCAATAATAATATTTGTTTTGCCCCTTGTTGGTTTACTCCAGTATCAATGATTCTACTTATATGACACCAGGAGGCTGTTATTAACAAATAATGGGTACCTTTTATAGTCTAATTTTGTGTGAAAATTTCTAATCATTAATAAATGAGTGTTTCTGCAAGTCTCACCATCTTTTTCTTGTTCAAACTGATAATTATCTTGATATTGTTTTTTTGCTCTAAGAATTTTTTGTTTATATTATTAGTCTTAAACGCTGAAGTGTATTCAAAATTTATCATCTTTAATGAGTTCAGGAAGACGCTTCAACGGATCAATGTTTTGATAGCCTAATCAAATATTGAATCAGAAGGAACTATCAAATTAATTTTACTTACCTAACAAGAAAAATTGTAATTTTATAGTGAAGTTGTTACACAATATCGCAACTAAATTAGACTACCATCAAGAAAGAAAAAAAAAACATCAGATCGAGCTAATATAATACATAGTGAGTGATTACCATCTCAGAGGTGCAAATCATGCTGACATTTCGGCCCCCAAGTTTAGATCACCAAATTATTAGGGGTTATTATATCTCGCTTGGAATCTGATAAACCGGGGGTAACTATGATGATGTGGTAGATATAAAAAAATATATATAATAATTATTTTAATTGCATATTAGAAATGATAATAAATCACTTAATTATCAAAATAAATTTTTTTGGGTGAAATATAAAATTATAGATAATTGATTTTCTTATCTGTAACAAAAAGCGAATATTCTTTTCTAGAGTATCATAGGCTGGATGAGTGACTAATTTGTATGCCAAGACTCTTGAAGCAACAATCAAATAATCGATGCCTTTTGACAAAGAAGAAAGCAAGAAATATTTGAATCAATTAAATAATTCATTTATTTACATTATAACTTGATATTGAGCCATACAAAAAAAACCCAGTTCTTGAAAGCCATGAATAGCTAAACTATTCGCCAGTGCATCACCATTTCAAGAGGGTTTCCCTGAGTGCTTTGCCCAATCGGATTTATTCATAAAATACCAAACTGATAAAATAAGCTCAGATCTGCATTAGGAAAATAGATCTTTCTTATGTAATAGGCTTCTAAAATGCTTTGTTTTCATCATTTTTGCCAGTGCATAACTGCCAAGGGTTTCGAACTTACACGGGTGACATTAGTTGATGGCTGTGGAGAGGTATTGTTCATATTTCCATACTTTTATTATAAATTTAAAGAGATGTCTTACCGCCCTTTTCTATATCTGTTATATCTCTCGATATACTGATTAACTTGATAGAAGATTGATCAAGTTATTTGTTATTTCTATATGTTCAAGTTATTTTCATTTTTTTCTGCCTTCCTAAATTATTTCTTTGAACTAATCAAATAAAACAATCATGGACTGATATGAATCTTAAATTTGTGAACTACAAATCTTTGTTATTTTTTGAACATCAGTCTTTATTGCAAGCAAGGTGAATATGGTTTGCATGAACACAATGATAAGTTTGAGTTCTTGTAGTTAAACATTATTTAACTCAAGAATTTGCAAACTAATTGTGACTATTTGAAGTAATTCTATATGTCAAATGCATGCTTTGTGATTTTCCCATTATATTTTGTTTGCTGATGTTGATTCCAAATGAACCTAACCAATGGAACATTGATACTTTTGTGAGCCGTAGGAAGGAAAAATGTGGTAATTGGTTGCAATAAAGAAAGATAAAGATAAGGCTGTAGCTAAAAATGCTACAAATGTGAAGACTAGCTAGAATGAAAGGAGACTTGCAACAATGAATGCTTGCAAATTCCAGGCAATGCAGCGATGAATGGAGTGGCTTATAGAAATGCTAAGAAAAATAAAGCCTAAGGCTTGGATTCCATGACAAGAATTGGAGAGAATTAATTGAGTATTTAATTTCAAAATTTTGTGTGGTATTTATAAAGTTTAAGGAGAGCTTAATAAAAATATACAAAATTGGAGAAGAATAATTTCAATAATCCTCAGATTGATGAGTTAATAGAATAATAATCAAAATATAATTACAATAGCTCATAGATAATGACCGTTAAAATTAAATAAAAAAATAAATTAAAATAAATTAAAATAAATTAAAATATAAATATCTATTCCCGCTTCAGTTCCTATATCTGCTTTCACTCGTGCCTCCCACTACTTCATGATCCCTCACATTCCTAAGGATTCAGTTTTTCTTTCACTTGTTTCATCTTTCCAGTTTTGAACCCGTAGAAGCCACTCATCCCTTCACCTACTTCTCCTTACTCTAAACAGCACAATACGTCAACCCTCATCCACCCCGTCTCGATCAAATTTTCCACTTCCCCCTCGCACGCCATATGCAAAAGCCCATCTCATTCTTGGTTCAAGCGTCTCAAACCGAAATGCCATCTGGCTCACCCCAGTTGGTTGCGATCTCACTTCCATTTTGCACGCAGAGTCAAAGCCACTCATCCTGTCTATCTCTTTGCGTCTTCAGCACAACTACAGTGTCACGAACAAGCCCAACTATTTACATATCATCTAATTGCACGTAATACAGTAACAATTAGAGTTGTTGAGTAGGCAATGGTGAATCGCTGGACACAAAGATAGCCGCTACTTAACCCTCTTCTCACTACTCTCAACCGAAAAGTCACTTCGCATCATTCTGCTCAAAACCTCACGCACGACCTAGCCGTGAGCCTCCCCTTTCTTATTCTCTCCAATCCAAGCAGCTGCAGAAATCAGTCGTCTTCCTTGTTCTAACCTGAGAGCATCTACAAAATTCTACCCAATCTCCCCGTGTTCCTCTCTATTCAAACCCATATCCAAAACCCTCATATTTGTCAAACGAATATTACGTGCGACATCTGTATGTGCGGACCATGGCATTGGGGTGGTATTGCACCTCAATACCACCCCAATGCCATCAATATCACTCTAACACCACTTCAATACCACCGATCCGCACCCAATCCGCACCTAGCTTGTCTGCATGTAATATTTTTACCATATTTTTTCACATTTCACTAAATAAATAAAAACACACTATCTCATTTTTCTTTAACCGAGAGAGAGAGAGAGAGATTGGAACTTCATCAATATTGTCGCTTCCCATTCACTCACAAAGGTATAAATGCAAGGAAATTTAATTCGATGAAACTTGACTATCTTTCCAGAAAATTAACTCCCATTCAGGAAAAATTAAGTACTTGTTTACGAATTTTTTTAAAAAAGCATGAAAATTTAAGTACTCATTCTACGAAGCTTAAGTGCATCTCCAGGGAATTAAGTATCGTTCAGACAAGGTTAAATATCTATTCGGGAAATATGTGCTTTTGTTTGACTTTTTGTAGGTTAATTGAAGGCCCGCTTTGTCTTATAGTCCAAGGGTTAAAATACAATTTTTCCTCCTCAGAGATGTTGACTAGTGCTTATTAAAAATTGTTTGACGGGTTGATATTCTCCCCAATGCGCTCTAAAGAAGGGAGACGTTGCAAGGCTCTCAAAATTTTTCGGTGAATTTGGACTTAGAAATAACTTAAAAATGTGGACTTTTTGGAATTTGAAAATTAATTCAAAATTTGGACTTTTCAGAACTTGCGAAATGACTTAAATATGAAATATCATAAATTGAGGTGAAGCTTAAGACATTAATGTAATTTTTAAATACTAAAGCAAAGACTTAATATATCCATCGCCACTGATCCGTGCCTAATTATGCAACTGGACAGAAGGTAAAGCTTAAAAATGAAAGTTTTGCATGCAGTCTAAAATAATTATATTTGTGTAAACATCTAGAATATTGAATGATTTTTGTATGTGTGTATGTATGTATATATATGATAATGGCGTCAACAGTGGCAGCGAGCTCCGTTAGGGTTACGCCCGATGGCGATTCCCGGCGGTGATTCTTCGATCTCTCTTTTTCTCCGTCGTCTCCCACGACGACATTCTGACGCGCTTGCAACTCTCTCGAAGACACTCGCTCGCGTCGCAGTCATCTCTTTTGTCGATGACGCTCGCTCGCATCGTCTCTCCTCACCCGTAGTCGACGACGCTCGCTCGCAGCTCATTTGCACGTCTTTATTCGTCGCGGCTCGCATCGTTTCTCATACTCAACGATGTGTCCGTTGCCATGCCCAACAAACAACTTCCCTGATCGCCTCTTTCTCGCTGCTCGCCTGCCTCTCAAATCTGATGTGGTCATTGTGCTTGTAGAGATGGCCTGGACGATCCGTTTCTCTGTCACTGCCCTTGCGGGCAACTTTCCTATTTCTACTCGTGCTCTTTTAGGTTTAGAGCCTGGTTTTCATATCGGTAAGTCCTGCAATATTCCACAATATTTCCACGAGGCTCTTGACTTGAAGGTGGTGGTGATCACACATTCATTAAAAAACTTGGTAAAAAAATGGGAAGCATGCTCTTATTCTCTCTGAGGTTGAAACATTACTCTTGTGTCCTCTTGGCGTTTTGCTCTAGTGGGGAAATTTCTTTATGGTCACCCAAAACTTGAGATCATTCGGAAAGATTTTGATGCTATGAAGTTATTTGATGCTATGAAGTTATTTGAAGTTATTTGACAGTTGGAATATTGGCTTACTTGACGGTCGACATATACTTATTCAGTTATCTCACGATGCCGATTACACACGTATTTTTTCTCGTAAAGTTATCAAGATCAACAACTGTTTTATGAAAAGTTTCCAGGATTAAAATTACACTTGTTCAACTTGAAAATTTTTTACTCTTTAGCTATTGCTTACCGTAAGTCTTTCAAGGTTGATAGTTTTCGGGATTAAAATTACATCTGTTCAACTTGAAAATTCTCTACTTCTTAGCTATTGCTTATGGTAAGCCTCTCAAGGTTGATAGTTCTATGATTGCTGTCACCAGATCCTCTGTTACTTGTGTGTTAGTTGAGAAAGATATCGCTCAACCAGCTCCGAATGAGGTATGGATTGGAACCACTCACAACGGGTATTGGCAAAAGGTTGAAATAGAACCATACCCTCCTTATTGCTCTTATTGTAGTATGTTTGGCCACAGTTCTACTGTCTGCTTTCGTTTGCATCCTTATCTAAGGCCGAATATCGCTAAAGATCAGTCACCTACCATTCTTGCTGAGAAGGTGCAACCCGATCCTCTTTCCAACACCGCAGTTCCTGATGAAGAACACCATACCCAAGCCGTTTTATCCCTGGATGCTCCTACTTTTGAACAATATTCCGGCTGCTGGGTTGGAGCATAGTACTTTGAAGTTCCATGAAGCATCTTCCCATACTAGAAGTACAGATCCAAACGTGTTTATACCACTCATTGTTATTGAAGAAGGTTTGCCTATATGCCAAGACACACGAGAATGATCCTTTGATCCAATAAAAGATCAGTTGGACAACAAGTAGTTGCTCTAATATTCAATTTCCTACACATGACCGACACACTTTAAACCAATCCACTGATCAGGTGAGTCAGCCTTCGGATGAGGAATGACAGGTCTATTCTAGGAGGAAGATTAATGGAGGCAGACTTGAGCTCAAGAACTTATTGGACGATACATTGATTACTACTGGCAATGACACTCATCTTACTAATTTGTTAGCTGACTCATTTCCTATAACTAGAGGCAGAGACAGGGCAAAATTGGGTCGCTCTCTAGCTATCTGATACTACGAGTTTTGACATTTTTTGTTATTTCTTTAGGTCTCTCATGTATTTTCTGTATTTTTTTTTTCGGAGCAATTTGCATGTGGTGGTTATCATGTGGGAAATGTGTCATGTTTGGGCTCCTCACACAATTTATTTGTATCCTTTTTTCTTTTCAATATATTAGTCATTGGGTTTTCTCAATATATATATATATATATATTTAATAGAGAAGGATACATAAAGGTTGTATGAGAAGAGCCCAGAATAGACACCCTACCCATACGAAACAAGTACTATAATACCCCAACAAAAAGATATAGATAGACTCAATAAAATGTAAAACAAATTTAAAGCATGCAGAAAACAAGTAGCTAGGGACGAGTCAGTTTAGTCCTGCCTCTTCCTCTAGTTTTAGGAGCAGAACCAGATAACAAACTTTGAAGAGTCGTGTCATTATCATGAGTCACCAAAGTATCATCCATTAAGTTTCCAAGTTGGAGTGTGCCCCCAACCTTCTTCTTCTGTCGAGAAGTGTAAACCTGTCA